AGATTTAAAAATAAAATTTAAAAAGCTGATTTTGCAAATAAAAACGATGCAACTTCCTATTATAGTTAGACAATCAATTCCAGTGTGCAGTTAAAGTTTGAGAAGTCAGTTTCATTGCCTACAATACATACTGAAATACAAGTGAAAGTCTTTGTGGCACTGGAATTTTTGGGCGGAGTGTTAGAAAAGTTTTCACTTTCCAGTTGACGAGAGACTCTGACATGAGGTCCGTCTCGCTTCTCTTTGCCTAAAGGTCAATCTGAACAAAACCAGATTCATTATCAGGAACTCAGGAGCTGCTGAACACCAAAAGCCACATTAACACTACGTTTCATCGAGAGAGAGATATATATATACACACATTTGCAAAGTGAAGCAATGAAATCAAATGATGCAAGCACCACATATGCATTTCTGAATGCTTTTTATTAGAAAAAATAGATATAGAGAAAATAAAAATCTTGCTATTCACTGGCTCACGGCGAGCCCAATCTTTGTGCCGTGCATGCTGGGATGGTGAGCGCATGTGGGGCTTAAAGCCAAGTCCAGCGGAGCACAGCAGGAGTTTGACTCCAGACGACATGCTTCTGAGTGCTTCAGCGTCAGTCACAAGAGCGATACGGTAGTGGAGTTTCACCGGATCAGGAAAGCGAGACCGGCGCCGATCCCAGCGCATCCCACCACAGCCATCAAAGCATTACGAATCACAGACTCCACATCCTCCACGCGGAAAAACTCCACGAATCCATGCTGCAGACACACACACACACATTAGCCCTCAAAACACATTCAAAACTTTCTGAATGCTTTAAGACCCACTTTTTACAATTAATTTTTAAAGAGATTACAGGTTTTTTGCGTTTGGTTCATTTTGGCCTGCATTTATATGGAGCACCATTAGTGTCAAAATACTTTGTAAAATGAGCTATGAAGTTATATTAAGGTCTCAACTTTTGTAAATAGGCCTATATTTAATATTTTTCTAACATCTCACACTTAGGACTGAATTTCGTCGATAAGCATGAATGTGCGTGTCCATTGATGAACCACTGCGGAATAAAAAAAAAATATTCGATCACTTTCCATCTGAAAGTGAATGAAAGCAATTTAGTTTGTCAGAAATAAATTTAAGATTGATCAATTTGTACTGTTTTTGAGCAATCTGGAGTTATAAGTTTAAGGAATTATGAAATTCCATTCATTCCAATACTGGTAATTCATATGCGTGTATGCATGTATATGTATATGTGTGTATATATACACACACACACGCCCTCATTTGCAAGTCATCTGCTAAATGACTAAAATGCAAAGTTTAACAAAAAACCCCCCTCCATTTCCCTTGCATAAGCTTTCACTTTCAGATGAAAGTTACTCTTTTTATTAATTTTTTTATTCTGCAGTGGTTCTTTAATAGATGTGCATATTCCTGTTCATCGACAATTCAGTCCAAAAGTGTGAGATGTTAAAAAAAAAAAAGTGTTACACAATAACTGCAAAGACAATTCCACAAGTATTTTTGACACTAATGGTGCTCCATATAATGCGGGTCAAACTGAGTGTATTTTTTATTTATTGCTTTATAAAATAATGATTCTTCGAATGCATTATTGGGGTTAATTATGCGTGTGAATTTAATGGAGGTCTGTCTGATACATGAGCTCCTGGGGTTGAGTTTGTTGAATGGACTGAACGTTGTGTGTGTGTGTGTGTGTGTGTGTGTGTGTGTGTGTGTGTGTGTGTGAGAGAGAGAGCGTGAGTGAGTGAGTGAGTGAGTGAGTGAGTGAGTGAGTGAGAGCGAGATCACACACACACGAGAACAGCTCTGAATTATGCAGTGACGGAAACACAAGCTGTTCCCATTAGAGTGCGAGTGAGATTTTCCTCTGGCGTCACTCACCCAGCCCTTGTTGTTGAGCAGCCAGTCGTGCTGATCGGAGATCAGATAGGAGGAGATCTGCTGGGCCACCGTCTCCACGCACCGCTCCCTCTGCAGCTCTTTCAGACGCGAGCACACCACGGCCCCGAAGGCCACCAGACTCACGATCCGGCCCCAGTTGGTGGTGTTGTCGTTGAACATAGTCTCTGCTATACAGCCGATGAAGCTCATGTCGTCCGCTTGAGATTCCAGCTGCAGACGCTGCAGCATTCCTGCAGAAGACACTTAACATCAGCAACTCCACCCACATCATATACTTCAAACCAGTGCTATTTCAGTATCACTGAGATAATTATAGCTTTTATTATATAAAATGCACTATATATAGAGAGAGATTTAGTAATTTTGCCGTGTATTCTTGTCACTTATGTCTATACTGTTAATTTTTATTTGCTTTCATAAATTTTAGTACTTCAGGTTTATTCCAAGTATATTAAAACCATTTTTACGGTTTTAATTTTAGTTTAGAAATGTAATACTCATTTCGCAATTTTTTTTTTTAAATAATAAAAAGGGGTGCATGCAGTAATAACACGGTAACATTCAAAACCGTGCTATTTTTCCCCACATTCACTCATTAATGAGAAGTTGCTGATCAGATCAGAATCTATCTGCCATATGCCTTGTGCTTTATATATATATTTTTTACATTTGACCTTTTGTACAGTTGTATTTAATCTGTATTTATGTTATCTGTATGCACCAAGGGTCTGAGAGTAACGCAGTTTCAATTCTCTGTGTGTGTGTGCTGTACATGTGGAAGAATTGACAATAAAGCAGACTTGAGATACAACACGGTCTCATAAAACAACGATTCTTCTAGATTGTGAACTCCGGGTGAACGCTTTTTGTTGTGTTCTAATGTAGTTTAATCGTGTGAAGAATAACTTACGAAAACTCTCAAATTTGAACCTGTGAATAGAATTTCGCAAGCGAGTGTACTAAAACAACCCGATTTAACATTAGACCGCGGTCACGTCTTGCGCGTTTCTATATCTGCGCACAGAGTCGTGTATCTACAGTTCCACCCACAGCTTCTCTCTCAGGCGCTGTTTCCGAGTATCTGACCCAGAGGCGTGCTGAAGCGCTGATAAACCTCCCAGACCGCCATCACGAACTGCGCTTTG